GCCGCGTCCAGCCAGTCCCTGCGGCCCGCCCCGCGCCTGCCGGTCCGACTGCGCATTCCTGGGCGCTCAGCCTCGGGCGTCTGGTCGGAGTCTCGGCGCCTCGGCCTCCGGGGGCGAGATCGGCTCTGCACGCCCCTCTCACCCCGCTTGCTTCTTCGCCCACCGCTTTGCCTTTTACTTACAGAAACAATTCCTCAGGAGAAAGGCTTCAGTCCTGCAACAGTGGGGAAAAGTGCAATCAACTTGTGATGATTCGGGGCCTGACCAGCCAGTTTGAGAAAATACTTGCGAGTCCCTTTCTCCTGATCGCCGCCTGTTTGTATATGGGGGCCAGGCAGGAGAATAAAGATCTGAAACTACACCCTCCAAGAAAAGTTTGATCTGGTGCAAGATTGGACTGAAAGGAGGAGCTTCAGTTGTTGGCGAATTATCAAGGTTTACTACTATTTTAGGCTTTCGGGGAAGAAAATTAAGATCTCCCTTCGATAATGTATTGACGGTACCATTTGTATTTGGAATTCTCCTTTTAATCCTATCTTTACTCCACGTTATAGCTAGCAAAGTTAACAGTAAAGCTGCCTACTAAAGTACTAAAGCTATATTGGGGATTCGATTGGGATGAAGGCTATGATCCCTGTTTTTCCATTCTTAACATGCTAAAGGGTAAATGTTCCCCTCAGATGCAAGTGACCGAAAATTTCTGGATCGGAGCATCTTGGCTGCCACCAAAAGGCACCTGAGAAGACCAACCCCCACAATATCTAAGGAATATAGATCATTCTTCCATGTCGAAGCACTATTTTGTTTTGTTTTGTTTTGTTTTAAAAAAAAAAAAAAAAAAGTAGGCCCCAGTCTGAGTCACCTAATATAAGTCATCTTACCTAACATAAATCTTTCTTCCTACTTAGTATTCCCGTTTTGCTCAGGTGGCCTATGGTGGGTGGACAGTTGGTGTTTGCCTGGGACAGGAATGAGAAAAAGAGAAAACGATTCACATGCTATTTATTTCTCAGGGAAAATCACACAGTTTTGGTCTTAGCCTGATTTGGGGGGTAAACAATTGAGTGGGTAATCAGGAAGGGGCAAATGGATAGAAAAGTAAAAGCCTTACTTAGAAGTTGGTTTAAAAACCTGAGCCTAGGTGGCATTAATCTGAGAGCACCACCTAAAATTCCTCAATAGCAGATTGTTTTCTAAATTTTAAAGGTGGGGATGAGAATGAGGCTGGGCATTAAACAGATTTACATCATATTCTTTATAACTCATCAGAGGGCCATCTTTGGAGGATATTGTCAACTTAATGTACAAATACATTAAGCGGTAAGAGATTTTTTATATGCTCTCTAAACTCTCTAAAATGACAACTATAAAATCAGCCGTCAGGACGTTTAAGCTTTACATAAGTTGGCAAGGTGTGCTTGGTTCAAGAGAAGCACTTAGTAAATATAGTCCCTTTTATAAATAGGATGTCAAATTTCTGAGTCTCCTTGAGGGGATAGGATGACTAGAGAAATGGCAACAAAAGTTAAGGTACGTAATATACATTAACTTGAAAGGATAAACTTTGAATAAATTAGGATAACATTCATGCCACATAAACTTACCACTGCAGCTCATAGACCAGTTCTCTCAATACTAATAAGCTCTGAGTCAGGAATGTTGGCTACTACTACCATGTGTAGCTTTGGGCAAGTTGCTCAACTTTTGTGCCTCTGTTTACGTATGTATAAAATGGGGATAATAATACTTCCTACATTGTGAGAGTGTTGTGAAAGTGCTTGAGATCCATAGATAAAAGGTGTACGTGACTACCAGAGTAGTTATTATTAGTCTATAAAATGCCCTAGAAACCAGGGATGAAAGAGATTATTGAGGTACAAAGCACTCTGTATTATTATTGTTATCATTTATTATACCTTTTGTCTTTACCATTCTCAATAGTCCCAAAGAATTATTTCACACAGACTGCTTCCCAGCATTGCAACAAGGTATTTTGCTGAGTCAGTCCTAAATTGCAAAATGTTTACATATCATCGATCTGTCATATAGCATTCTGATGAAATGATCCTCAAAGTGCTTAATTTCCCACCCACAGCACTGTTAACATTTGGGACTGGTTAGTTTTTTGTTTGTTTTTTTTCAACGGAGTATATCCAGCATGAATGATATTTAGCAGTATTCTTGGCTTCTGCCTATTAGATAACAGTATCCCAATCCAAATCCAGTTGTGACTTTGTCAAATGTTCCCTAAGAGACAAAAATCTTACCCAGTTTAGAGCCTGAGCCAACCTAACATAACTAATTTTGCGACCAGCTTGTCCTTAATAAAAGGAAACAACAAAACAAACAAAAAATTCATTTTAACATGTCAGAGTGACTTATTTTAAATGTTAAAGCAATGTTTTCCAGGCAGAGGGTTAACAATGACATGAAATAACATATTTGATGAAATAATAGGATATTGGGAAATACTCATTTTGGCTTCATTGCAGATATTTATGGAGCACATACAGCTTGCCCTCTAAAATCAAGATAATACATGTACATAGTTTTAAAAGTTACTTTTATTCTGCAAGGATTATAACAAAAAATAATATCCCTCTACTTATCTTTCCCAAAACCCTACTCAAAACTTTGAATTATTTTATCTGTTAATCCAGATCTGCTAATATAGAATTAATGACCTTACCTACCTTTTGATTTTTTTCATTTTTTTTCTTTTTGTTTTAATTATAACAGTTTATTTTTACATCATTTTATGCCTTTTTCCATCTCAGTTGTAATCCCTGTGGGCTTCCCATCACCAAATCTCCCATGTGCCATCACCATAATCCATTGTACTTTCCCACCCCTGTAAAATGTCACTGGTATATAGTTGTTCATTATTAGTTCCCCGCCCCCCCGGTCCTATATATTCCTGCCTATGAGTGAAACCATCTGTTATTTTTCTTTTTCTTCCTGGCCTATTTCACTAAGCGTGATCCCTTCCAGCTCCATCCATATTGCTGTGAAAGGTATGTGTTTATCTTTTTGATTGCTGAGTAATATTCCATTGTGTATATGTACCACATCTTTTTTATCCAGTCATCTACTTTTGGGAATTTGGGTTGCTTCCATGTCTTTCCTGTAAATACAGCAGCAATAAACATGGAGGTGCAGGTATCTTTTTGAATAGTGTTTTTGTATCTTTTGGGTAGATAGGTAGGAGTAGGATTGCTGGGTCATATGGAAGCTCCATGTTTAGCAGTCTGAGAAACCTCCAAACAGCTTTCCATAGTGGTTGTACTAGTTTGCATTCCCACCAGCAGTGCAGGAGATTTCCTTTTTCTCCACATCCTCACCAACATTTGTTGTTGCTAGTTGTTTGAAGATGTGCCATTCTCACTGGGGTAAGGTGGTATCTCATTGTGGTTTTAATTTGCATCTTCCTTATTACAAGTGATGTTGAACATTCTTTTATCTGTTTGTTGGCCATCTGCATTTGCTCTTTGGAGAAGTGTCTTGTTAGCTCTTGTGCCCATTTTTTGATGGAGTTGTTTACTTTATTTCTGTTGAATTTCATCAGTTTGTGTTTATCTTTGTGTTCAATCCTTTATTGCTAGTTTTGTGTGAGAAAATTTTTTCCCAATCAGTGGGATACCTGTTTGTTTTTTGTAATGTCCCTTTTGCTCTACAGAAGCTCTTTAACTTGATATAGTCCCATCTATTTATCCTTGCCTGCACTATCATTGTGTTGGGTGCTGTATCTTCGAATATGTTACTGAGGTGTAAAAATATGGAACACTTCACAATTTGCATGTTACCCTTGTGCAGGGGCCATACTAATCTTCTCTGTATCATTCCAATTTTAGTATATGTGCTGCCAAAGCAAACTTTGATTTTTCCATTTTTAAACATATTTTATTGACTTCCCCAGTCATGAGAATTGGCTACTTTATTTTCCACAGTTAAAACTTGCCTTTTTTTTTTTAACATGGAGCTTCCATATGACCCAGCAAGCCCACTCCTAGCTATCTGCCCAAAAGACACAAAAACACTGATTCAAAAAGATACCTGCAACCCCATGTTTACTGCTGCTTTATCTACAATTGGAAAGACATGGAAAACAGCCCACATGCCCCAAAGTGGATGACTGGATTAAAAAGATGTGGTAGATGTGGTACATATATACAATGGAATATTACTCAGCAACCAAAAAAACAAACAAACAAACACATGCCTTTTGCAGCAACATGGATACAGCTGGAAGGGATCATGCTTAGTGAAATAAGCCAGAAAGAAAAGGAAAAATACCGA